TCCTCCTCCTCCTCCTCCTCCTCCTCCTCCTCCTCCTCCTCCTCCTCCTCCTCTTCCTTCTCCTTTTTGGTACTGCTAGGCATCAAGTTCTAGCATACAAGCTGGACTAGAGGCCTTACTATGGAGTCCCCATAGTTTCTTTGCTTCACCCACTTTTTGCCTATTCACTCTTCGATGCAGCACGTTTTTAATACCAGACACACACACCCCTCAGTCTGTTGTCATTGCTCTCCCTAGAATGAGCCCCTTAGTGGACGAGGGGCTACATTTTGCCAGCTGGGTTTCCCAACCCACCCTTGTTGCCTATTGTACAATACTGTATTTTATAGACAATACTGAGGAGGCACTTGGTGATTGTTCAATGAATGAAAGAGCAAGAGATTAAGCTCTGAGTATCAATGGAAGTAGGGCTGGCTCCTAATTCAGTAGAAGCCAATACTTGAGTTCGGGCTTTATAAAAGTTAAATTTACTGAATAGTTGAAAACTATCATGATAGAAAGAACTACACACACATATATGCATCCCTAGAGATAATATGTTGACTGCTCTATATCTTAAGGCATCAGGGGGGAAACTGAGGATAACTTTAACATGAAATCCTTGTAAGAACCAAGTGAAGACCAGAGATCTCACTGTAGCAAGGCAACCAACCCCGAACCGATTCCTTCCTTGATCTGGACATGGCTGGTTGGAATCTGAAATATCTCCTGAAGGCTTAAAGGTCAAAGGCTCTGTTGTCAGCTGAGGAGCCTCAGTGAATTGAATGGATCTCAAGGGCCCTGCCTTTATCCATGGATACAGCTACTGATGGGTTACTAATTCCACAGCCTTACTGGGAAATGGTGGAAAGTAGGTCATGGGGCACTGGTAAGAGGAAGGAGGTCACTGGCAGCTGTATCATTCTCTTCCCCTTCCCCTGTCTTCCTCAGCTTCTTGGTAGCCTTGAGCTGAGTGACCTCCTTTGTCCCATGATCCCACAGGTTCTGCCCCACCACAAGCCCACTGCCATGCAATCAAGCTACAATGGATGGAAAGCTCAGAAATTGGACCAAACTAACCCTCTTCACTCATGTGGTTCTCAGACACTTACTCAGAGGGGTGACAAACAAAATCTTTCTTTTGGCATCTTCACTCAGCTTGCCTCCCGCAGCTTCAGGTGCTCAATTTTGAAGTCATAGCACTGAACTCGCAACCACAGAGAAGACCCACTGCTGGCTGGTGTCAAGAACAGCCAGTTCATTACTATGACTTTCCATGCCTTGCATGTTTTTAAACACAAGCCCCTAAAAACCTTTGCTGAAAGGCCACCTTGCACCTCTGTTCCCATCAAGCCCTGATGCCATGCCTCTATTTGTCCAGGTTGATGCTTCCATAGGGGCTTCCAACATGGATGACAACTAAATCCTCACTATTGAGACATCATGCTGGGTGTTCAGACACTACAAACACAAGCATTAGACAAAAAAATTAGGCATAACAGTCATTCTATGTGGGTCCAGGAACAACTTCCCAAGATAACAAACAGGAAGTCCAAGTTCCAAATGGTGGCTCCCTTAAGGCTTAATAGTGGTCCCTCCGTGACCAAGTTGGTTCACAGGGTCGGTGGAGTGAGTACAGACTCCAGGTTGTGTCAATTTGTTCCAGGTAACTCACCTGTTCATGCTGTCCATCCATCCCCCAGGCAGCATGAGTACCAACTTACACCCTCGGTGAGAAGCTGCTGGGTTCCAACCAGGACGCTCAGAGACACGAAATACATTTACCAATTAGCTGGAGCATGGATTAAGACAAATTCCAGCTAAACAAATCATGGCTATGCTCCTCTGTGTTCTTATTTCCCCTGCTCTGGATCCACAAGTCATACTTTCTTTGACCCTATTAGCCCATCCACCATTCACAGCTCCACGAGCCATCAGATGGGGCTTCCTACTGCACAGTACTATACAGTAAATCTCACAAGAGACTGTTCTCCAATTCTGTTCCTTCTCAGGTTAGGGCAGCTAACAAGAAATAAAACTCAACATCATTCCTGGAGAGACAGAGCCGGTTTGCTTAATAAATCATAGCTTTTCCCCTTTAAGGAGAGAATGACTGTCTGAATGTTGATTGGCCTGCTACTATCACTGCATTTATAAATTACAGGACTCTTTCATTACTCAGGAGCCCGTGGGCATGCCATGTTCTGACACAGCATGGATGCTTCTAGGTGCGCCACAGGGAAGAGCAGTCCAGTTAATTGTGTGATTTTACAAAAGTAGCTTTTCTCAAACTTACTCATGGATATGATGCACAATGTGTCTGCCTCAGTACAGCTGGGCTGTGTTGGGAAGTAGACGAATTAAGAGTGTGGAGGTTGCGAAGATGGCATGGAGAGCAGAGTGCTTTCTGCACAAAGCTCAAGACCTGAATTTGGTTCCTCAGAACCCATATAAAATCTAGGCACCATAATGTGTGCCTGTAACCCAAGTGCTAAAAAGAGACAGGCGGGTCTGCAGGGCTTGTTGGTCAGTCAGACTAACTGAAACAGTGAGTTGCAGATTCAGTGTTTGACTGTCTCCAAAATTAGGGAGTAGATGAATTAAGGAAGACCCAAGATCAACCTCAGACCCCCACACATATGTACACACATGAATGCATGAACAAAATAAAACATTTAAAGAATAAAAATT